TGAGGTATTACTATTTATACTAGTAATTCGTGGATGTTGTGCTGACCAACAAAATGTTGCTCATTCAATAATATGACGACCGACTGATTAAATCTTTAAAAACAAAACCTAAAACTCTTCTGTAACTAATCACCTATACTTGATCGTTTGAAAACGATTAAAAGGCGGTCCCAAATGTATGCATGAACGATGTTGACAGCTTTAACCCCGTTTATTCATCTACATATTAAACATTTCAATGCGTCGGACATCCATCTTATATATGATAATATTTTACTGATATGGCCGGTTCGTGACTCGAGCGCTATCCTCAAGGATAACCGAATATTATAATATATTAATAACCGACGACCCTTCCAAGACCGCCGACGACATCAGCGCGGTAAAGTAAAAATAGTTTCTCGAGGATTATCTTATAGACATATGGAGGACGTACCCTTAAAATATTGGCCATTACATTAACATTGTCTGGATAACGATGATTTCTTATTTGTGCCGACGACCTCGTCGTAATTACAAGTATACAATTATTAATTATTGTTTCCACTCGGTTCGTCGAGCTTGATCTTATCCGGTTACGAAATCCGTACAATAACAATACCAGCTCTGGTCCTATCTTCGTCCCGAGACAATAACCACGCTGACATCTTATTGTCGTGACTACTCCCCAGGGGTTCCTCCGCCTAGGATTGCACATTATAACATTACCTATATAATATATTTTTATATTACGTGTTTGCAAACAAATACCATCGAAATGGTTTTATTGATTGTGTAAATTTGCGCTGGATTGTACAATTGACGACCTTGCCCAATTTTAGAACGTCGCGGGTGCAATAGCATAAAAAAACAATACTAGTTCCTTTGAAAACGAATAAAACCTGAAAACCCTTAGTGTAAGGAAATCAAAGGTCAGGCATCCATCATTTTAATATTGTATGTTTATAATATTATCCAAAACCAAAAACTTTTAATATAATTAATGTTATTTTTAATTGCGTTTAAACTTGCACCGACAGTGATTTTAACTCAAATGTCAGACACACGGTGCCACGACGCTTTGCCTGACCGGATACGGTTGAATAAAATATTAATTGAAATTTCCCTCGGGTGTGTTTAATTAGTTCACCATGTGTATATTTACCTAGCTGGTAATATTGTTATGATAACGAACGGTTAATTCGATTTGCTTGTTTACCAACTTCAGTTGATTAAAAAAAAATATATACATATACAATATATATTCCACCGAGAACGTTATTTATTTGCAGTTACAAATTCCAATGCCGAGGTTGGACAATTAAAATATATTGAAAAAGTCCAATCAAAATAAATGTTATAATTTTTCTTTTAATAATATTGTACCGTCGGTGTCGTTTGTAAAACTATTTACTAACGGTACGTGCATTTTTTTTCTTTTCTTAAAAAAAACACAATACATTGGTCATGAGTCGATCGACCCTCTCACGACCACCGTCTGTCCACCGTGTGGGTACAAAATAGTATATATTTATATTTATACATATTCTGTTGTGTGTATGCGTTCAGAATTCATCGACGTTGTGTACGGTTCGTTGAGCAAGAAGTTGACGGTCGCCATGGACAGGAGAAATAAAAAAAAATGATGAAAACCGAAAGGGATACAAAAAATGAACTCGAGGAATGCAAAAAAACACTAAAAAAAAAACCATACCAAAACCTATTGTCCTAAGTTTAACATAATACTTGATATAACGTGTGTGTGTGTATTGTTTAATAGTATGTAGGTAGTAAATGATAAATGATGGTAATTTGGCTTTAGGCGCTTTTTATACTGTGAACATTTAAGCTTTTCCTGATACACACAAACAACATGCATAACAATATAACATATTATTTCACCCCATTTTTTGTTGAAATCCCTTTTCCAATATTTCCAATGGTCGTTATTATGTAAACAATCATTCTGTGCCTGTGACAATAACTGAAAACGGGACACTTTCCATTGTGTTTAAGTGTGTGTCTTTTGACTATTATCATTATAGGGCGAGCTCCTCTGGTAACCTGAATCAATAACATGTTAAACCTCTGCAATATTCAATCAGTCTGTAGGCAGGCATAACGTCCAAAAACGAGACCTACCCGTCTGGGTATATTGCAGTGTGTGTTTTACTATGGCAATACAATACAACATTTTCTTTGTTTAACATCAAAGCTTGATCGTCCACGGTTCATCACTTAGTGTTACTGCACTACGTTTGGGGGTAGGTTTTTATTTTCCACTCGACGTTTGGTAGTTATTTTTTTGCACTATAAAAAAAACTTTAACCGAATAACAACACCGGAAAACGAAACGGAGACGGCAAAAGTAAATTCGGCTTTTTTCCCTCCCCTCTAAACCGACTAAGGGCGTGTCGAATGAGTTCCTCCACGTGCTCCCCGGGGAATAGCACTCATCCTGTACACCCTTCTTTTACAAAATACAAAGTCCACACGCCCCGCACCACGTATATGAAGAAACGCATGACCGACATTTTGAGGGCAAGTTTATTTTACGACTTGATCACAAACAGGAGGTACCACTTTCCGTTCCAAGTGCACGTGAACTATTTATCAAAGACCAACTTAATGATATTGCGCTGTTGTGTTTGGTTTATTAAATTCCCAGTGTCCAAGTCTCGCGAAACCTGCAATTATATTTGTAAGATAATGATAATAACAGATACGTTTGAGCCAATTGTAAGCAAATCACATTCTACATACTTTTTAATAGTATACTTATGGTAAACGGACATCAGCAAAATGATGGTCAATGTTCGACAAAAAAATATTACCTATCAAGCATTTTGACATTTTATGTCTTTACTTTGGCACACAACCAAAATTTATCCTTATATATATCTTTCTATATCCTTATATATTCTTATATCCTAACATAACCTTATATATCCTTCTATATCCTTATATCCTTATATATAATTTAAAAAACCTAAAATATCTACCGTGGTGGCGGACTCGTACGCAAGCTGTTATCTCCAACTCCATCTTTTATATATATATATATATATACATGTACAAATATAATATGCCATCTAGGTGTTTATTTAAGAATAAATGATTATTAGTTAATGGTGAATTTGTGTTTTTTATTTTTATTTTTATGGAAAATGACTCATTTAAGTAATTTTTTGACATAATTTTGAGAGTTGTTGTTGGTTTATTATTAGTATTTGTTTATCGAAAGCGTACCTACCTATACCGTTGTATTGCTGCGGACCAGGTGATAATAATGGAAATTGATCTGGTATGAAACCACCGCCTCAGGTCGAACGGAATTCATTATTCAGGCGAAAGTGATAGCGTTCTGCTCTACTACAGAAGTCCAACGCCGTTTACTTGTTTTGCATAGGTAATTACTGTGGGTTTGATTTTCCTCTTAGTCCTGGCGGCGTCGTCGTTTTCTAATAAAAGCTCATTGTACCGTGAAACCGAAAACCAGATCAAGACAACTTTAATACCTCGTATATATATATATAAATCCTGATCCGAGGAGGTTAGGTTCTTTTCGGCGGCAAGACCCGTCATTGATACGTCTCGGACCCCCGAGGGCGGACTCGAGAGTATGAAAATACAATTAAAAAAATACATAACCGGACGTTCCACGGCAGCTTCTCGAGTGTTTGTTCGTGAATCTCGAGTGGTTCACCTTGAACGTACACACAGGTCGGATGTGTTTATAGCCGCGTGTACATGCCGGACCCGTTTGGAGTGTATATAATAATAATATTAAATATTTGGTAGTCAGCCCGTACAATAATGATGATTATTGTATGTTTTTACGAGTGGCGCTGACTTGGAAAAAAAAATACCCATTACAGGGTGGACGGAGCATAATATTGTGAGATCAATGAGAACAGCTGTAGGATATATAATTCTGGATAAAACGCAATAGTACCTGTAATGTAACATTTTTTTTATGCTAACGAGCCACTCGCGCTTTTAGCAAAGATGTTTGTATTGTGCATAATGTATAGTGTAAAAAAATAGATTTTCAAAGCACAACACACACTGGATGTAGGAAGTATTATATTGGTATAGTTTTTCTCATGAAATATTCAAACGCCACTTATTATACGTCTGTTATGTGCGTTCGTATAATTTGGCAGCTGTTTAAATTATTAAATTCGTCGACGAAAAAATAATAATAATGCATAAAAGAACCATTTTTGAACCATTATACGGCCTAAACGCATATCGGAGCCAAAAGTCTCCACAAGCGTATAATAGAGGCATTTCTACCCTCGACCGAGACATGCGGCCCCAGTCTGTAAGTCAACCATATTTTATGTATTTATTTACATAATATATTATGTATAGGTTTATTACCAAAACGTGTTATGGATGAAATTTCAAAGAGTATTCAGGGTGAATTGCTTGAAGGATATGGTTAGCTTGGATAATGTTTTATTCATACACTAAATGATGAGAGATTAGTAGACAAACGATTAGGTGACAGTAAATAGAATCAAAAGCGGTTAAAGTGGAAGGAAGCGGCAGGAAGTTTGTCTAATAGGTTGTGAGGAGAGCTGGTGCTGAAGAAGGCCAACAAAGTTACAGTGTCTTAAAATTGGTTTTTCGCATATCGTCTGTAGTGTGATGTCAAGAGGTCAAAACGTAGTGTTCGTTAACGCGTTAGAGTTAAGTAATTTTTCTCACGACCGGATTCTTTACATGTTTATTTGATTAATATTGATGTTGTGACGTGCACGCACAACCGAGAAACTCAAAATCACATCCTCGTCGTCTTAATGATCTATCTGCTGACCTCGCGGGCTATCTGTAATGGATCTACGGACACCGCGGCTGTGTAATATATCTAATTTGTATGTACATTAAAAATATAATACACTTGGACCGACCGTTTGACCCCCGACCGGTCTCTTGGGGTGTACAGCCGGACATTTTTTAAAAAAATGTTTTTTATTACTATTTAATAACGTTATTGTCCCGCATTGTTACAGGTCTCTGCACTATTGCAGCGAAGAAGATACGCCCAAGTCATGCTGTGGCCTGTTGACGTTACCCGACGCCACCAGCACCGTATCCATCAGATGGTTCATAGGCATAGTCTTTGTAGCTGGAATTTGTTCGGCTCTAGTCGGGACGGTGTTGGGTGCGACCAGAGCATCCGGCAGAGAACACCTCACCGTCGCTTTGCTCATGATAGGTAAGTCACAGAACTTAGTCAGATTAAGGTAAACCTATGGTGTTGAAATCAATATTGATCGTTCAAAGCACCGGTAGCTTTAGTCAAATGCTCGGCAGTCATCGGGTATAAGTGGGTAACTTGTATTTGTAGGTTTGTTGTCTAAACATAATTTGGTTACTGAGCTCTCTCGTCAGAGACTGACGTCGGGCAACGTGAGTTGACATTTATATGTCATATATAATATACTTGATGATCGAGATCCGGAAAAATGGGAACACATAAAAAATATAATAACGTCTCCGTGTTCGTCTTATTTGTATTGCTCTTGCTCGTCGATGCATATCGTTTCGTGTACGTATGTATAATATTGTAATAAAAAAAAATAATAAAATAAAGCATCCCACAGACAAGTGACTATACTTACACAAGTTTCGAACCCGTACAACGCAGTCGGTGCTTATTAATAAAACGATAGGTACTTTTCGAGACTTACTTGTATGGAAGTAGAAAGTTTCGAGTTTTGTCATTTTCATCATCATCGTCTTTGCCAATTGCGCCAGCAATGATCATAATATCGTTGGGAATTAATTTGTCATCCCTTTTAGGCTTAACCCTGTGTTCGACAACAGGAACAACGACAGCACACTTATTGGCTTAGACCACCCACCACCTTGTGAACGTGATAAATCAAGGTTTAAACCCAAATATCGACGACAGGCGCTGCTATTAAGCGTTGCTCAATACACGACTAGGTATATGGTTATTTACATGTCGTGACCGTGTTGTGAACCTGGATCTTTTGGCAAAAGCACTAGGGGGTTGGTCTCTTTGCCCATCCACGCTCCTCTCTCCTGTCGATGGCACATCATTTTGTCATCTTATTGATCATACAGAGTACACCTGACCGACATTAGCGTTTCCCCCGTGGACTTGTGTTTAATAGAGATATTCATTTGCATATCTATTTCCAAACAATATACTAAATCGGATTACCCGACGAGGGGGGGGGAGGGGACGTCTCGATAATCGTTCAGCAAACCGTATGTTAATGTGTAATGTGTGTATTGTACTGATAGCAGCAGCAGCAGCAGCAGCTCGATCGCTCATCAATGTAGACACGGTTTAATTATATTCTATTCTAATTTCGCCTTCGACAACGGTACACTGTTATGTAATATGTCGAGTACATGTGCGTTATATTTTACCATTTAGACCATCGGATTTATTCAAATTATTTATAATTTACTTTCTACTCGCTCGCATAGTTTTTTTTTTTATCCCATTGATAATTATCAATTAGTTATCATTTCACTTTTTAACGGACATACTTATTTATTCTATAGAAAGCCGTAACGTGATTTAAGTCGCCGATTCCACAATTCAGTTAATTTGACGAAATAAATAATTTAAATGAATCTGAATTTCTAAAATACTTCTTGTCAGTGAATAAACGCTCTCGTTTGGTTATTATCCCAGCGACGGATAATTATATTTCGAGTTTTCCCAATTAAAATGTTCAGGGATTTTGAATATAAAAACAATTAATTCCCTTAGAACGTTAGAAAGAACCGGTAGATAAAGTAATGCCTATATATTATTATATACACAACACTGTCGTGTCACGCTTAGATCCCTTTTTTTTTTTTCCATTGACATTGTGCCAAAACAAACTTGACCTTAAGCACGCGCTGTTGAACTTTCCAAACAAAGCCTCTAAAAAACTTGTTTACCAAAATAGTTCAAAAAAGTAATTACCGCAGCTGGTTAGGTTCTGGGCTGTGGTGTGGTGGATCCTGGTGGATTCAGGATTGTCTGTTGATCAAAGAAATCAAGTTCGAAAGGAGCACATCTTTGCCTTGTGCCGTTTTGGGACGACTGCTGTTGTATGGAGAGCGTTGGACAAAAACGAGTTCATGGCTTCTCGGTCATTGTGTAATGTTATTATCATCACATGTGTGTGCTTAATGCTTATGCATTATTTAATACGTACAATATAGTAACGAGTCGCGTCTGAAACAATATTATACAACATTCGCAACGATACTTATTATTATTAATTTTTTTTTATTGTCTTAAACAATAACGACTCGGCGGGATGTATTTTAATATAAACAGCCAATATGCATACAGCAGCGTCGACGGTGGATGGTAAAAAAACGTGCCGAGAGACGGTCTGATGATCCAAAGCAAACAACACTGATCGTTTCTTGAATAATTTACAACGGTCTTATTTCGACTGATTTGTATGCACATATTTCTTTTTTTTTTATATACAAGCTGTCCGATGGGTGTTGCTCACGTTCATATTTATTACATCAATCTAAGAGCCATACGGACCTAACCTGTATGCAGAGATGCTATTTGATTTTTTTGAGCTCTTATTGTCCTTTAATGACGTTTGCACGCCATCTTCAACTGTTACTCTTCGAGTGCATTCTAATGGGGTTATCTTTGTAATTCTGTCTAGGGCAACACCAGGGGCTTTCTTTAAGATGCCGTTTGACCTCCCGAAACAGATGAAGTCAATAAAGCGCTTGTGTATATTTTTTAAATGGATACATGTGTTTTTTGTTAACCAAACAAATGTTCTTATCAAAACTAACAACTTTTGTAGGAAAACATTTTCGGTACAACCCATAATTTAAATGGTAAAACCTATTGTTTGTAAATTAAGTCTCTTTAGCTATTTTTAGATTTGTTATTTTATTTTCATGCATATGGTAACCGTGTCATGTGTGGTAACCTTGATTTGTGTAGTAACCATGGTTTTTGTCTTTCCGATACACAGAAAAGAGAATAACGTTGACGATTAATATAATGACAATGTAATGGTAATACTAATGATAATGTTAAAGACAAAGACAAAAACAAAGTGAAAGATACATTTTAAGAACGTATAATTTGAGATGTTCGAATATGCCGCCATTGTTGTCCACACATACCATGGTTACCAAACATGGCACGGTTACCATATGCATCACAATAAAATATCAAAACTAAAAATAGCTAAGAGACTTAATTTACAAATAATGGGTTTCACCGAAAAATGTTTCCTACAAAAATTGTTAGTTTTGATAAGAACATTTGTTTGGTTAACAAAAAATACATGGTTTCCATTTAAGAAAAAAACATGCGTTTTTTGGCCGTGTCAGCCATTTTGAATTTTGGACCATATTTTTTTTTTAACGTCCTCCTTTATACGTACTCTAAAAGTCTCTAATAAACAACTTTTTGATTGGATTAGTATTTTAAAATGGGACACCCTGTATACCTTAAAGTACAGTTTTAAGTGGCCTTGTAGCATTAGTCTAAAAGCACAATGGCTTGTACCCGTCGGGGAACGTTCTTGTTGAATTTGGGCCATCTCTTGCGTTTTGGTGATAAGTAAGTCTGGTTTCGTTTAATAAAAATAATATACATTTTTAATATTCACTTACCGGGCTATGATGCGATCACGCCGACATGACGTTTAGATGTTATAATATTATATAGTGCCGCCGCCAGTCGGGTTAACGCTGTCACGCTGTTAGGTGCGATCCATGCGTGAAGGGGAAACAACAGCACGTGACTGTGGGCTGTGGGCACGGACAGGAATTACGGGAGATTTATTTTCTGGGCACTTAAGGTATAGGTACTACACACACATATAACATGTACACCGTCGTTTGTCTTACACCGTCGGATGGATACCGTCGGTGCGGTCTTTCCGGCCAGGCCGACTCTGGAGTTCAAGTAAAATCCAATGTGGCTTTTTGAGGTGCGGTGATTATTTCACATACAACACATAGAATAATAATAATAATTATATAGCATTTAGAAAAACAACATTGGGATTAAGATTTCCTATCGCAGGTTCGCTTCGATTAGGTTACTACTCACAAAATAGGATCTACCAGCAATACATCTTCTCTATTCATTAAAATTCCTAATAACTGTTCCACACAATTTTTGCCTCCATTTTTAACTACCACTCGTTTATTTTCTGGCCTACGTCTACCCTATAAATATCTCTTATCCGCTTTACTTTTACTCCTATTTTCTGTCAATAGTCCTAAACCATCTTAACATAATACCCTTTCTCAGTTTTCTCAATGTCGGCGCAACTCCCAAACTTCCTCTATATTTCGGAAGAGAAATTTCAAATGGAAACAAAAACATTACATTACACAACCCAATACTGTAAATGATAATACCGACATGTTAATATCATGTTTTGGCTTTAACCTTTCAAAAAAAAAAAAAATGATGGTTATCTTGTATATCTTTTTAATTGGAAACGGTTAAGATAGAAAAATCAATAAGACAAACCGGTAACCGATATTCTCATGACCGTTTATTAATTCACGGGGTAGGGAGGTTATCCTTGGATTTATTAAATGTATAATTATCATAATTAATGTGTAAATTCTTTGTCTAGTTTTGTTTGAATTTAACACGGCTTGTTCGTTGCCGTCGGCGAAATAGCCATGTAATGATAATTATTATAATACTGTAATTCGGTCGTTATACATTTGTAATGAAAACCTTATTAGCGAATACACCGAGAAGATAATTATATGGTAACATTATTGTTGATAGGTAAAATATGTTCGATTTGCTGAGAACAATAATCGCCATGAAATATCATTGTGTTGATAGTTGAAACTATTTAATATGATGTAATAATATTACTAATCTACTGAATTAACCAGAAACCCTTAGGGCGTCGACGATTACATTTCCTTTCTTAATCACTATCCTCTTGCAAATAATATAGTAACAACCACGTCATAATGATCATTGATGTTATACACGGTCAACATGTTTTATGAGAAAAACAAATATATATTTATAAGGTTAAGTTAGGTTACCAGTTTTTGCAAATAAAAGTGTTAAATAGCAGAGATGCTTAGTCTTGGACAAAAGTTGTACTGTGTAAACGCCAATAACCCAAAATATTATTTTATATTTTTATTTGAGAATTTAGCATGGATATTGTAAATGATTTACCGTTTTTGCTGTCAAAAAAAAGGGTTTCC